TTTGGCTCAGTATAATCTGTGAATACAAATATCATTGACAGCACACGTTACCTGTGTACAGGTTCTGTTTTAGTTCTGTGACCATGGCAGGTGCATAACGCTCTATTGCTTTAATCAGTCACATCTTTCCATGACAGGGACAGGGTTGATGCACATACACGATCTATAAATGACTCTGTGCTTGTTTCTGTTCTCTGTTAGAAGCCGTGCAGACTGCTGCACTGTGGATTGTTGTTTCTTTGATGCAATCAAACTGAAACCTGACAAAGGTACTGTCACAGCTGCCGAGGCGAGCCGTGTGGCGTAGAAGGGAGAAAGGACCCAAAACGCAGGCAGTAGATGACAATGCTAGTGATGTTTTATTTACACAGTGGTGAGATGGCAAAACAGGTAAAGAGGGAAGACAAAACTAAATGACAAACCTGAGAGGGTACCAGAATGGGGCGAGGCAGCGCACGAGGGACAGGACACCGTGGAACACAGACAAACCAACAACAGGCAGGCGAACACACAGGGCTTAAATACACACAGCAGCAATCAGGGGATGAGCAACAGGAGGGCAACACACCTGGGAGAAATCAAAGCTGACGGGACAGAGGAAGCGTAATCTGAACACACTTACATGAGACAGAGACCTTCAGAATAAAACAGGAAACTCACAGACACAGAACCAGACAAGACGCTGAACTAAACAGACAGATTCACACACAGTGTGACACCATAGACAGAAGTGGCACCAGGACAGGCACAGAACAGAAACCTAACAAATGGCAAATCATAACAGAATACATGCTCAGGATAAACAAAAGCATGAAGAAACACAAACCACTGAGTCGGCAGACTCAGGACCATGACAGGTAGCTGTTTGTGTCATCGATCTGCTTCAGATTTCCATAATAATGCACACGTTTGATTATCACAGCACAAATGATGTTGTGTCCCAACCCACAGAGTCCATCTGTGCATTCTGTTACAATAATACTAGCCTATTATTGTTATAGTATCAAACAATATTATTATGAGGTTATTACCACTTTGAAATCTATACATTAATATTCTAATGTACACATGTTACTACTTTAACATTAGCAGCTTATCATATTGTTAGCAGTTGCATACATTTCAGTGTAATATTACAGAGCTTATATTGTGTTTGCAGGTTATTACTTGGTTATTTTCATATTATTACCTTCTTGTTTCAATCTTTATTAGCAAGTTACAAGACAAAGTGCTGCTGAGATCTGGTTCCGGGTCGCTGCCCGTCAGCTACTCTATTATACTGCCGACACTTTATTCACTTTTAGTTACTTACAGTTATTTATTCACCTATTCGGTCACTTTAATGTTAAAACTGTGTATATACTGTATATTCTGTGTATTTATTATCTCACTCTTACTGCCTGTTATGCCCTGTCCTTATCTTCAACGTCATGCTGCTCTGTTGTATCTTAATTGCCCCTCGAGGATAAATAAAGTCTTTCTTTTTTTTTTTTTTTTTTTTTTTTTGCCTGTCCCGTTTGGCTCTTTTGCATCAGAATTGTTGTCTAAAGGCAAAGAAAGATGCCCAACGGATTTACTTTACCAAACTGACCATCCCAGCCTTGCCGTAATGGTCCATTTGATTCACCTTTTATTGTTTATTTTATTTTCACTTACTGAATACGGGACAGACTTGACTGGGGGAAAGAAGGGGAGAAAGAAAGAGGGAAAGAGAAACAGCTCAGAAGAGGGACGGGGGAGAAGGGTAAAAAACAAAAACCAACAGGACGAGCAGAAAAAAAAATGCATATATCAATCACCTGGATCACCTGCTGAGAAAGAAAAAAGAAAGCAAGCAGAAGAGAACAAGAGTAATAGAATAAACAACATCACAATGATATATGGGAATATGACAGTAAATACTAAATGTTAAACATTATTGTGCAGCACATAAGATCAACAGAACACAGTGTGCTTTGAGGTAGGAGCCAAAAAGGGTGTAGTTTGTGGGTGTGATCACCCGTGTGTACACCTGTGAGCATGGACGCGCTTGTTTTTAAAAGGTTCCTTCATGTAATGATCTGCTAGAGGGTGTGGGGGGGCCACAGCCCCGTCCTCCAGGGTATGAAGCAGGTATGGAGGAGATCAAGACTCCAGACATCCAGAGGCCCCCAGAACACAAGAGACCAAGGAAGACCAACAGAGGGGCAGCCGCGCCACTGTCCCAGAAAGAGCTGAGGAGAGTCCCAGATGAGGGCTCACTCAGCAGCCGCGGAGCAGAAGCCAGGGGGAGTTGCAGTGACGCGCCCGTGAGCTCCGCCGGCAGCCAGCTGCGCCTGAGTGACCGAGCCCCAGGCCGAGAGGCCGGGGGCACCCCACCTCCGAAGTGGCCCGAGCGAGCCCCAGGCTCCAGGCCCCGATAAGCGGCCACCAGGAGAGAGCCGGTGTGTACCTGGACGCCCACCCCCAGACACAAAGAACCACCAATGCACCGATGTCTGAGGGGGTCCGCCACTGGCAGGGGAAGTGGTGGTAGGGGAGATAGGCCTCCAAACCTTGGAGGGCCTGAGAGAGGTGGCGCCTGACACCCAACCTGACATATAGACACAGACATACAGGCACACACAGACACTAACATCCATTCCCCCCCTCACGCTCTCATATGCACTTACTCCACACTCAACCAACGTGGAGACAGACATAAAGAGACGCTGTACACACGATCACACTCCCCAAGCGTACTCTACAAACCGGGTCTAGGTGCCCCGCCCCTGGAGGGGGGAACTGCACCCAGACCCAGGTGGTGTTTCCCTTTTCCCTGCGGTGGGGGGAGGCAGACCGCCCCGACTCCGCAGCAGCAGGAAGGCTCCACACTCCAGACCGCAGTCGGACGGCCAACTCCTCCTCCTAGCCCCCTGCTCCAGCAGGTCGCAGAGAACGGGGGTGAGAGAAGACTCCAAACCTCCCTCCACCCGCTCATTGTAATGTTGATGCATGTGTGTTCTAAGGTGCATTTAAAACCCAGGAGGGCATGGAGCTACCTGCCAGAGAGCAGCAGGTAAGCGCATGGTCCCTCCTGCTAGCCCTCAATGTCTATGTGTATTTAAAATTGAGAGGTGGGCAACGATGCCAGGGGTGAGGTATACACCCTGATGGTACTTTGGACTCCGTGTATCGTGCCCACCCCCAAGATCCTATATGTATGTGTAATGAGAGTGTGAGTAATGTGAATGTCTAAGTTGTGGGATAAAATTGAGGCAGAGGCAGCCAGAAGGGGACAGAGGGGGGGGGGGGGGGGTAGCCTCCTCTGCACCCTGGTGACATACCCCTACTCCAAGGTCCTGCATGTGTGGGTGGTTGTGGTGGAGCGGGAAGTCTTTCTGATTCTGACATGCCAAACAAACAAACAAACAAATGAGTGGCCTTAAATAATCTTATGCATAAACATAAACTTGCCTCACACTTCATGACAAGAAACATGCATTATATCATGATGTGTTTATCTGCCCTTACACTGGTTTTTAAGTCGAGTGTGTTCAAAGACACGAGTATAGCTGAAATGTGTTTCACTGGTTGAAAACAACATAAAAATGTAAGGTAGAGACGACTGATCCTTTGTTGTTACAGGTCAGAAACCACAAGAATGTGAGACGTGCGCTTTATCAGAGGCTACTTTCAGTGATGTAACAGCTTAGTTGTGATTTGTGCAACATCTCTAAAGTTAGAAATATCCTGTCTCAGAGTGACGCTGAAAAACTAGTTCATGCATTTATTACTTCCAGGCTGGACGACTGTGATTCATTATTATCAGGAAGTCCTAAAAACTCCCTGAAGAGGCTTCAGTGTAAAGAGTTTCAGTAAGTTTAAGAGTACTTTATGAGGATTTGTATCATAAGATGCTGTCAAATGTTTTTACAGTATTTTACTGTACAAAGTAAAAGGTTGTGGGAAAATGTATCGTCTCTTTTGTCACTATTGTAAAGAATTTTGCAGCAGTGATGGGACCCAGGAAAAACTGACCAATAGCAACAGAAACTTCTTTCAAACTGCTTTTTTCCAACCCTTTGGTGGAACGAGCCGTAAAAAGAAAACTCAGCAGAAGGTCAGCATGTTCTTATTATGTTGGACAAAACAAAATGATTTCCCAGATATGTTTCCTTCTAAGCTGATTCTTTTTCGTCATTGGAATGTCATCAGACTGGAGAAGTGCAGTCGGATAATAACAAAGAGAGGGAAGGTAGTCAGAACTGAGGGGATCGAGCTACCAGAAGGCAACATTGCAGACATAGAGGACAGTTACAAGTACCTGCAGAGGGTCAGGCAAGTCCTGAGAAGTCAGCTGAATGTTGAGAACAAGATCCAGGCTACGCCCTGCCCGTGATCAGGTACCCTGCTGGGATAATAAGCTGGCCAAAGGAGGAGATAGAAGCCACTGACATCAAGACAAGGAAGCTCCTGACCATACATGAAGGGTTTCACCCCAATTCCAGCACCTGTACGCTAAGCGGAAGGAAGCCATAACCATAACATAAACTGTATATAAGCCTGCATAGTATACAGAAACATCTGTGCTGAATATGACCGGGAAGTCCCGAGGTCTAAATGATGTCCCCAAGGGTGGTGGAGAATGACCGAGCTAAGATCCTGTGGGACTTCCAGATACAGACGGACAAAATGGTGGTGGCTAACCAACATAGTGGTGGTAGACAAACAGAAGAAGACGGCCGTAGTGATCGATGTAGCGAATGACAGCAACATCAGGATAAAAACAAGTCTACTACAAAAATAAAATACAACACCTCGGCCAAGTATTACTCTGTGACTATCATGGCTGTTAATATCGCTTCATTTCATGTCTGAATTAAGACAAGAGCCATTGTTCACGTTTGCTGCTCATCTGTCTTCCTGTAGGGGGCAGTAATGCACTACGGTGCATTCTTCAGCCTCCACCCAAACCAGGAAAAAGAAGAAGAAAACGTCCGCTTCCGGGAGGCTTGTTTTGCAGAGCAGCGGGTTGAGTTTTGGACTCATGCAAGTTACCGAGAGTTTTCTCGTTGGCCTGACTGTGTGAGGTTACTGTTTCGCGTCTCTCTTAGCACTTAGCAGCGTTAGTTGCCTGCTACGCTGCTCCTTCCTTCCGCGGCTTTACGGAAAGATGGTTTTGTCAACATCACAACAAGTCGCTCTGGCTTTCACGGGCGTGCTCTTCATGTTTGTCGTGCTGCCGCGGTTGTACGGCTTTGGCAGCGGGACCGCGGCGAAGGACGCCAAACTGGACGCTCGTCACAGCAGAAAAGGTAGCAATATACAACTGGTTCTTGGGCACTCTGAGGTTCACTTTGCTCTAGTTATCGCGAGATTTGGCTTGATTTCCACATTTGCTTTGAGGTTCACGTTGTACTAGTTATCGTGAGGGGAAAAAGCGAGTATATTAAATTTTCCAGAGAAACTTAGTTATTACACATTCTCTGTGTGTTTCTACCTTATTTATGTTTAAGTGCGATCAGATCCACCCTCGGTCGGTTCAGCTTACACACATTATTCCTAATGAAATGACAGATTGGTGGAGATCTGTACACACATGTGAGTTTGTGTATTTATGTCTGTGACATCCTTCATCCGTGACGCCGTGGAGGCCATTAATGAATTATGTCCTTCCATCCCAAAATACACGTGCCTTTATTAGCCGCACACCTGCGTATTCATGCAGTTATTCATCATCATTGATGTGTTTCTACAGGACTGCAGAACTTTAGTTAACGTTCACTTGAAACATCAGAATGGGGCAAAAAGTGTGTCCTGAGAAATCCAGCTGGAAAATGGCTGAAGCCCTCATTTGTAGGAGGAGGACAAAAGAGTTACAGGGTTTGCAGTCCTGTAACTGCTAATGATGTCAGTGCATTGTGTGGACGTGTCATGCTGGAGGGTCAGGTGAAGAAGGCCTGTCACCTAGACCCAGAGCCCACCAGTCAGTGGGTAAAAATGTGCATTCCTCCACCAGCTGGTGAATGTTTGGTGGCAGTGAGAAAGTGACATTGGTTGCAAAGAAGCATGTGGAGCGGTCTCAGAAACCCAGTTAGGATTGCTTTGATCGCTGGCAGGTTGGTGAAGGGGGAACATGGCGACTGCAAAGTTGGCTAGCAGCGGTGAGACCATTTACCTTCAGAGTAAAAGTTACACCTTTTAAAATGTGTTGGCCTCAGCTTTTACTTTGAAATCCAAGATTCCCCATTTCTGGTTTGTGCCGCTCTTTTTCTAATTTTACATCTGCTCGTTGGTCGTTAGCAAGAGTTTGCAGACAAGTTGGCATCTTCCATGTAAACTGTGGGCAACTGCAACAGTCTCCTAGCTACTAAAGCGAGGTCTTTGATGCAGGGCTGTCTTCGTAACTGATAACATTTGCTTACATACAAGTGATAGCGTGTAACATAAAGCGTCAACTCCCAGCTACCACACGGAGAGAGGCAGGGTACGGCCTGGACGGGTCGCCAGTCCGTCGCAGGGCTAACACACAGGCACATACAACCATTCCCACTCACATTCATTTAGAATTACCAGTTCACCCACTATCAATTAAGGGTAATAAAGCCCGAACAACAAGACACCCTGGCAGGTCAAAGCCTCCAAAAAGGCAGCTACTTTATACACTAGAACTACCACAACAGCAGTAATGGCACATACATCGTCTTCTTGATGAAGCTCAGTTGTTCATTTTCATTGAATCCTTGTCATTACAGATTTTAAAGTTAAAATATGACAGAAGCCTAATAAACAAAGGGTATAACAAGTAACACAACAGCTAACAGATGCAAAACATGTCTTTGTTAAAGAAGACGACCATGATGAAGAGTTAAAAGTAGAGCTGGGCGATATAAGATTTTTTCATATTACGATATGTTTTTTTCATTTCAGGCGATAACGATATCCATCACGATATAAGCCAAATAACTATTTGTAAGATTTAAATGTGCCGTTGCTCACAAGTAAAATGTGAAATAATCAGCAGCTTGTTTTAAATATTTATTTCCCATAATAAGTTCAACAGGGTAGATGTACTTAAGGAACATGAGACTTTTCAGATAAATAAAGGCAAATATTGCAAACTACACAAAAGGCAGCCGCTAAAGCGTTTAAGTTTCAAAATAGGACAAACAAAACAGACTAAACTGTCAATTCCACTTAGAAACAAAATATTAATTCTAAAAATAAATCTTAGTTTGTTTTACAGAAGAACAGACAAAACTGACTAACTTTTGTCAACATCAAATAAACTGAGAACTAAAAGGAAATTCTCAATCTCTCCTTGTTGTATAGCTGAGCTTTTCAAACAGTTGTAACAGTTACTTTAGTCTGACAAAAGCCGAATGACGAATCAGGTTGGGGACCGCTGGTCTAACCGATGCATGAAACGATACATTTTTAGACATAAGTTGTAACGGCGCCGTTTTCTTTGTGAGTATTTATTACACGGCGTGCTGCGGGGAAAAGCCTGTTCTAACGTTTGAGTCTAAGGTTTATTTTTTTAGCACTTGGCGGCTCTTTTTTACTTCTCATCCGTAAATAATCTGCTCTTTCACGTGATTCCGTTTATTTTGAAAAGTCTCAACAGGATCTTGAGCTTTATTGTGAAAGGTTTATGTGGAACATAAACAAGCGGACACACGATGGTTTTACCGTCGTTGTTGCTAACGACAACGCATAAAAACAGGCGCTTGTCTGTCTGTAGTGTGGTTATATTAAATATAAGAGAAAGAGAGAACTTTAAGAAATGAATACAGCCACTACAGTGACATCAGAACCATGAAAAAATATAGCTGTAAACTAGAGCTGGGCGATATAACGATATGTATCGCGATATAACTTTTTCTCGATAGAAAAATTAAACTATCGCGATAGACCTCACCGCTCTTGTCCTCCTTAAAAAAAATAAAAAAGAACAGCCAATCCAAATTACGTAGCGCAGAGCCGAACCAATCACAGCCGCAGCGTCACGTGACTTGTTACGTACAGCACAAGTGCCAAGCCGCACATGTGTATTTGTTTGGGAAGCAGCCAGCCGCCGTGCCGCCCGGGTAATGGAGGAAATGAGTGTGCCGACTAGAAAAATCAACCGAGCGTGACCGAAGGTTACAGAGGAGAAAACAGATGATGGTTCCAACGCCGGAGAGATTGTCGAACGGAAGAGCCACAGAAGCTCCGTAGTGTGAAGGTATTTCGGCTATTTCAAGTAGGGCTGCTCGATTATGTCAAAAATGATAATCACGATTATTTTCACTGAAATTGAGATCGCGATTATTTGACGATATTTATTTAACCCTTTAAGACCTACTATAGAACCAAGTCCGCCAGAGCTTATATTATATTTTTACATGTTGTAGTGCCGTTTGTGGGAGCATTTCAATTTGCTATGCAACTGTTATAGCCCATATTTTAATAATATAATATGTATGTATTAAGTCCATAGTAACGACATTAATTGCAAAAAAGTGCAATAAACTACAAAAAAAATTGAAAATCGTTTTTGTTTTTTTTACATATATTTCTACTTGGAGAAATTTAAGAGGTTTATCCCTCAAAACTTTAAATACAAAAAAGTTGCAAAAAATAGTTTACAACAACAGGAAATTTATTTTGAGTGTCTTCATAGTTTTATTTTGGAGATACAGCAATTTTTATATACTGCAGGAAAAACGAAAAAACAATCCTATGATGCAAATTTGCAAAGAAAACAGCAGGTGCATCAAAACTATTTCCAGCAGTGCAATATGAGTCCTAAGCATCCCAGCAACTATTCAGAAAAGTCAAACATGACCAGTAAAGGCTTTTAAGGCCTACAAGTACAAAAAACTACATTTCCGCGAAAATGACGTCACTTCCGGTTTCGAGCAGGAAATGGCGTACATGCGATAGTTTGCGCTGACATCTGTTTCACTGTGGGAAGTGTTACGAACAGCTGATCGGATCGGCAAAACGTGTTTCTGGTTTTGTGTTTTGCGTGTTGCGTGTTTTGTTCCTGCAAGCGCTTTTTATGCAGTTTTTGCAAAGCTATATGTGGAAGGAAACCGTGACCGAGGACAAGCTGATGGCATCAGATGTAAGTACAACTCCTCCGGTTTCATATGCAAAACAAATTATTGCACTAGCTTACACGGTTCAGGTTCTACAGGGATTTAAAAATAGTTACACAAAACTGAGCGTGCTGCTCTGACCGGCTTTAAAGGGTTAACAATGACTTTTAAAAAATAATATAACATAGTGTGCAACACCACTGAAGTTTTTTTACCTCTCTTTTCAACCAACAGCAGTCACTCTCCAAATAACTTCTGCTTAGCTTTCCGAGCTTCCCTCGGGTCCTCTTAATCAGCGGTCTCCAATCTTTTTTGCGCCACGGACGGTTTATGCCCGACAATATTTTCACGGACCGGCCTTTAAGGTGTCGTGGATAAATGAGGGAGGGGCTAATAATCGGCTCAGTCATTTTTAATGATCGTTGAAAGCCCAGATCGTAATCGTGATTAAAATTCGATTAATTGAGCAGCCCTAATTTCAAGTCTGACAAAAAACAGAGTAGCGTGCACTGTAAATTGTGCCGAAAGCAAGTCTGGAAATACAATAAACTGGTGCATGCGCTACGTCCACACGTCCACGGGTATTTTTGAAAACGCAGATTTTTCTATGCGTTTGCACCTTTCGTCCACACATAAACGGCGTCTTTGGTCACTGAAAACGAAGATTTTTGAAAACTCAGTTTTTGCATTTACATGTGGACTAGAAAAATGGAGAAAACGCAGCGTCAAAGGTGTGCGCATTTTTTGACGTCACACTGTGCGCCACGTTATTGTTTCGGTGAAATGAATTTCTACAATACTGTTACTGTTAATTCTACTCTCTGCAGTGTTTAAATGCTTACATATACACACAGTTACTGTCCCTCCACACATACGACTCGGTTCTGCTTCTATGCCCCAGCTTTGTTTACTTTTCCCACCGAGGCTTCTAGACTTCTGATTGGCCAACATTTCTGCACGGTTAGGAATCTAGCGCCACCTGCTGCTTTGGCATGTTCATAGCAGCGTTTTCCTTCATTTCTGCCTTTATGTGTGGACGGGATTATTTTTTAAAACGAAAACGGAAAATCTCCGTTTTCAAAAATACCCGTGTACGTGTGGACGTAGCCTCAGTCTCTGACTAATTCGTCATTTGGCTTTTGTCAGACTAAAGTAACTGTTAAAACTGTTTGAAAAGCTCAGCTATACAACAAGGAGAGATTGAGAATTTCCTTTTAGTTCTCAGTTTCTTTGATATTGACAAAAGTTAGTCAGTTTTGTCTGTTCTTCTGTAAAACAAACTAAGATTTATTTTTAGAATTAATATTTTGTTTCTAAGTGGAATTGACAGTTTAGTCTGTTTTGTTTGTTCTATTTTGAAACTTAAACGCTTTAGCGGCTGCCTTTTGTGTAGTTTGTAATATTTGCCTTTATTTATCTGAAAAAGTCTCGTGTTCCTTAAGTACATCTACCCTGTTGAACTTATTATGGGAAATAAATATTTAAATAAAAACAAGCTGCTGATTATTTCACATTTTACTTGTGAGCAACGGCACATTTAAATCTTACAAATATAGTTATTTGGCTGATATCGTGATAGATATCGTTATCGCCTGAAATGAAAAAAACATATCGTGATATGAAAAAATCTTATATCGCCCAGCTCTACTGCAAACAGTTTATTTTACGACACCACGAAACAAACGATAGCGTAAAATGAAACGATAGATGTTTTTATATCATCATCCGATGTATATCGTTATATCGAGCAGCTCTAGTGTGTGGGATTAAAGATAAAAACCAGAGCACTGCCTACATTTTAATACTGACTTCACAGCTAGCTACAAAAATGTAAGAAACACGTTTGAAATAATGATTGTAAAAGTAGAGTTCATCATCTCAGCCACGTCTGACCAGAACCTGCAGTCTCTCATCCAGCGCTCCGCCTCAGTCTGCAGCTTCACCTGCTCACAGCCCTCAAACCTTTGGCTGCTCTGCCCACTCTTTATTTGCCTGGATGGTGAGTTCTCCACACTCCTGTGCTCAGGGTCAGCAGGCAGGTTTGTGGCTGCTCTGCACAGCCACAAACCTGCCTGCTTCTCCACTGTGCTCAAAACCCCAGCCTTCATCTGTCTGTGGTGGTTAGCACTGTTGCCTCACAGCATGAAGGTCCTGAGATCAACTCCACCATCAGGCTGTCTGTGTGGACTGGGTGTGTGTGGTGTCGTAGGGTTCATTGGTTAACCCTTTAACCCTTGTGGACGAGTGGACATGTCCCAGTGGATACTGGACTACCTCACAGAGGGCTGTGTCTCTGACAGGCTGGTCTGCAGTACGGGGGCCCCACACTGTGCTGGCACCGTTCCTCTTCACCCTCTACACCGCAGACGTCTCCATCAACTGCCCACGCTGCCACCTACAGAAGTTCTCTGACGACTCTGCCATAGTCGCCTCATCACAGGTGAGGACGACTCAGAGTACAGACACTGGACTCTGGACTTTGTGGACTGGTGTCAGCAGAACCACCTGCTGATCAACGCCGGGAAAACCAAGGAGTTGGTGGTGGACTTCCGGAGACGCAGACCCACCACACTGACAGCGGTGAACATCCAGGGAGTGGACATTGAGATAGTGGACTCTTATAGGTACCTGGGTGTTCACCTGAATAATAAACTGGACTGAAGCCACAACACTGATGCTCTGTACAGGAAGGGTCAGAGCAGACTCTACCTGCTGAGGTCATTTGGAGTCCAGGGAGCGCTTTTAAAGACCTTCTATGACTCTGTGGTGGCATCTGTCATTTTTTAGTGTTGTATGTTGGAGCAGCGGTTTATCTGCAGCTGAGAGGAAGAGGCTGGATAAACTCATGAGGAAGGCCAGCTCTGTTCTGTAATGCACCCTGGACCCAGTGCAGGTGGTGGAGACAGAAGGACTCTGGCCAAAATAACATCTCTGATGGACAGAGTCTCCCCCTCCCATGCATGCAGATGTTGCTGCAGAGAGAGTGACAGACTGCTGCATCCTCGATGCACGAAGGAGCGTTTCTGCAGGTCCTTCCTCCCTGCAGCTGTCAGACTGCACAATCAGAACTGCTCCCAACAAACATAGATGTTTACATCTGTAACTGCACTATTTTATTTTATTAACCGATTCGCACTACAACCTGCTTTGCCTCTTATCTGTAGTTAATTTTATTTAATTTAATAACTGTACAGTACTCACTGTTTATAGTAACCATTGTCCTTGATGTAAATATGTAAAAATTGTGTATGTTTCTGTTCTGTGTCCTGTGTACTGTTTGTTTGTATTTGTCTTTATTGCTGCTGTTACATCCAAATTTCCCCTTGTGGGACAATTAAAGGATTATTCTATTCTATTCTATTCTATTCTATTCTATTCTATTCAAGTCCACCAGAGCTTTGCATTTTTACATTTTTACATGCTGTAGTGCCATTTTGGACTTTTCAAGTTGCTATACATCAATACAAGCAGTATATCCCAAATTGTAATGATGTGTAATTAGTCTACAGGAAATTGCAAAAACAATAAACTCCAAAAATAGTTTTTGTTTGTTTACACATATTTCTAGTTAGAGAAATTTCAGAGTTTGATCTCCCAGATCTGTAAATACAAAACAAGCTGCATAAAATAGTTTCAAAGCATAGAAAATTTATTCTGAGCATCTTCATAGTTTCATTTTTGAGATGCACTCATTTTGATAAACTGCAAGAAAAATGAAAATAAACATTATTGTGCACAATTTGCAACAAAACAGCATCAAAACTGTTTCCAACAGTGCAGTGTAAGTTCTCAGCCTCCCAGAAACTGTCAAAAACAGCAGTAAACCTTTGAAAGGCCCTGCAGGGCAAAGCTTCCCGTGTGAAATGACGTCCTCCCGGGTTTCATACAGCTTTGTGCAAACGGAGCAACCTGCTCTGAAAAGCCTTCCACGTGCTAGAGGAAGAGGTGACGGATGTGGTGATGTAGCAGCACATTAGATGTGGCTTAAACGATGATGATGATGATTATATGTGTTGCCCCCATTAAGTGGCATTAGGACTGAGGTCAGTTCAAATCTGTGGCCAAATGGAGCGTCAAGATTCCCAGCACCGGTGTCTAGTTGCAGAGTACTGCCGCACACAGTGTTTGACACTGATCGTCTACACATCGTCGTCTACGTGTTCCTTATGTGTATGTTTGTGCACTTGTTGTGTACTGTGTAGAGAAAACATATGAGAGGGTGCCAAGAAAGGACCTGTGGAAGCAGAGTGTGAGGATGCTGCACGACGTGTGACGGGTCGGCTGGTGATGACATTAGGGCTGCTCAATTAATCGAATTTTAATCACGATTACGATCTGGGCTTTCAACGATCATTAAAAATGACAGAGCCGATTATTAGCCCCTCCCTCATTTATCCGCGACACCTTAAAGGCCGGTCGTGAAAATATTGTCGGGCATAAACCGTCCGTGGCGCAAAAAAGGTTGGAGACCGCTGATTAAGAGGACCCGAGGGAAGCTCGGAAAGCTAAGCAGGAGTTATTTGGAGAGTGACTGCTGTTGGTTGAAAAGAGAGTTTAAAAAAACTTCAGTGGTGTTGCACACTATGTTATATTATTTTTTAAAGTCATTGTTAACCCTTTAAAGCCGGTCAGAGCAGCACGCTCCGTTTTGTGTAACTATTTTTAAATCCCTGTAGAACCTGAACCGTGTAAGCTAGCGCAATAATTTGTTTTGCATATGAAACCGGAGGAGTTGTACTTACATCTGATGCCATCAGCTTGTCCTCGGTCACGGTTTCCTTCCACATATAGCTTTGCAAAAACTGCATAAAAAGCTCTTGCAGGAACAAAAACATAATATTCCAGAAACACGCTTTGCCGATCTGATCAGCTGTTCGTAACACTTCCCACAGTGAAACAGACGTCAGCGCGAACTGTCACATGTCCGCCATTTCCTGCCCGAAACCGGAAGTGACGTCATTTTCGCGGAAATTGTAGTTTTTTACTTGTAGGCCTTAAAAGCCTATACTGGTCATGTTTGACTTTTCTGAATAGTTGCTGGGATGCTTAGAACTCGAACTGCACAGCTGGAAATAGTTTATTTTGATGCACCTGCTGTTTTCTTTGCAAATTTGCATCATGGGATTGTTTTTTGTTTTTCCTGCAGTATATAAAAATTGCTGTATCTCCAAAATAAAACTATGAAGACACTCAAAATAAATTTCCTGTTGTTGTAAACTATTTTTTGCAACTTTTTTGTATTTAAAGTTTTGAGGGATAAACCTCTTAAATTTCTCCAAGTAGAAATATATGTAAAAAAAACAAAAACGATTTTCAATTTTTTTTGTACTTTATTGCACTTTTTTGCAATTAATGTAGTTACTATGGACTTAATACATACATATTATTAAAATATGGGCTATAACAGTTGCATAGCAACTTTAAATGCTCCCACAAACGGCACTACAACATGTAAAAATATAATATAAGCTCTGGCGGACTTGGTTCTATAGTAGGTCTTAAAGGGTTAAATAAATATCGTCAAATAATCGCGATCTCAATTTCAGTGAAAATAATCGTGATTATCATTTTTGCCATAATCGAGCAGCCCTAGATGACATCATGACTCGGAGACCTTTTCTGTTTGCAGGAGGTCTTTAGCAAATATGATTATTGAAGCTTGAATCTTACACACACACACGCACGCACACACAGTCTCATTGGACTCCTTCACACAGTAATCACACTTCTTATGGTGATCATGGGTGCCTGTTCCAATCCAGTCCATAAAATGTGATGCTGACATTTGTCTGTCATCGTCACCTGTCAGGAAACAGCCTGAAAGTAGCTGTTTAGAGATGAACTATCACACTAAGTAAACTATGAAAGGCTGTAAAAGCAGGGTGGTGCATGAACGGCCTTTAACAGCAGATGATTGCACTATAAAACTCCTACTGTCATACAGCACTACGTAAACATGTGACTTAAACCCCTACCCTAGCTTGTTGGTAACACCCCTGACCCTCACCTCACTATCTGCTTTAAGACAAACGATTTGGAACGGTGCTCATGTGCCATGAATGCGATTTCTTAGCGTGTCTCTGACGTCCGTCACGATGTTGTGTCAGCAGGCCCAGCGCGAGGGCAGCCCATCAATATGAACGGCGCCGGCCAGTCCCCGGAGAACTTGCAGCAGATGAAGAAACGGGTGGAGCAAGAGCTGAAGAGTGACAAATACAAATCGAGCAGCAATAAGGGCTACGTGTTCACGCTGATGCCGCTCTACGCCATTGGAGTGGGAGTGTTTGCAGCATACAAGTTTTTGAAGGTAACTACGTACACTGCAGCACCTCAGGTCTCGGATAGCATCTACAGTTTGAGCCGTCATGTTTGTTTTTGTTCCAGATCAGGTCTACAGACGACAAGGCCCAAAAGGACAAGTTTGCAAAAGGGGCCAAAAAATCCATGGAGGCAGGTGTGTGTCAGGATTTGTGTTTGCACGTTTTATTTGGTTTCAGTCGTGGTTTCCCCATCGTGTGTGTTTGCTTTCATGCAGAGAACCAGTTGAACGAGCTGGAACAAAGGCTTGCACAGACAGAGAGGATGCTCAATTCCATCCTCACCCAGCTGGACCCGCTGACCAACTGGTGAGTGACCTTCCCAGTCAGGTTTCTCCAGGTGTTCCCCACACAGCTCTCAAACATGACTCTAACCCGCCTGCAGGACGGCGTGGAGCTGATCACCTGACTTTAGTTTCATGTAATAAAACGGCCGTTATGACAAACACAGACCCTGTGAGAATCGTCTCTTCTCTTTTGTTCCTCCAGCGTGAAGTCGGTGGCCCAGGAACAGAAGAATGAGATCATGTCTCAGCTGCAGACCATTCGGTACCTGATGAAGAAGAGAGGAATGGACTGTCCACCCCTCCATGCCACCAGTGGGTTGTTTGTTTTTAACCGTGCAGCATAATTCAGTCACTTTGTGGTGATCAGAGTGAATTTGTCAGGTGTTGCAGACCTGACTCTAGACTGTGTGGTTGCTGTTTTCAGATTGTGTGCAAAATAGAAACACATCCCAGTTTCTATTGTTCTTACTGACGAATGAGGAGAACGCTCTCAGTGTTTGATTTACACTGTTACTGCACATCGTCGATGTTTGAAGGAGCGTGATATGTTTGATAGTTGAGAACAATGGTCCTCATTAACAAAGCCTGTTTTGTTCTTGCTGTCGTGTCATGTTAGTGAATTCGACCAGCCTGTGGAATCTGCATATTGTCTGCACGTGGCACGCCCACATGTCTCTGTATAAGCAGAGCTGACCCACCAGAGGAGAAAGAGTGAGTGGGGAAAGTGACCCAGACAGGCTTTGTAAAAGGGTCCACGCTGCAGCGAGGACATCTTTTAAAAGAGAGGCTGTGGCTGAAATACAGGATCACTCAAAGCTGATGTTACTGTAGTGATGGTGACATTTGTTCGTACGCATGGTGAGAGGCACTTCTAAGTTTGTTCACAAACTCAATAAATTCAGGTGCAAAAGTCTGAATAAATCACTGATTGCTTAAAGAAATGTTTCTACATCAGCGCCTGCACAGATCAGTCCATGAGAGGAAATCTTGATGCAGTGCACCGTAGTGTATCGTGTAGTGTATCAGTGTACACTACACTGATACACTACACTGTACAGTGTAGTGTACAGTGTAGTGTACACTGATACACTACACTGATACACTACACTGTATCAGTGTAGTGTATCGTGTAGTGTATCAGTGTCTAACTCTAGGTCTCCTGTGAAAGGAGAGGCGTGTGTGGCTGATGCGAGGCAGGTCAGGACCGGGATGCCGACTCGTTTCTCTCTGTTTTGCATTTATGGTCAGCGTTGGGTTTGCAGTAACTCCGCATTCAGCACTGTTCGATATCCATCCTGCGTGTGGCGTGAAGACTGTGGGCTGTGTTTTAAAATCAGGTGGTTGAAGCTGACAACCACAGTCACACCTGACAGCAGAGCAGAGTGGGCTGCAGGGTTGGTTGGTGTCGCTCTCTCCTCAGGTTTCTCTTCCTAAAACTGAAGGTGTGACCCAAATATTCCACCACTCCACCCGTGAGAATCAAAAAGCACGTCTGATTCAGTTTGGCCTGTGTGCCTTTTCTTGCACCATTTTTAGCCACATCCTGGAGATCTCGCTGTAAGCCCTTATAGTGTGCACTCTGCTGTTTGACCACAAACCTCACGCTTTACATGCATCATCTCTGTGGATGGCAGCTGGGTGTCCAATTTCAGCCAAGCAGTTTCCAGTTGAAGGCTCCACAGTCTCACGTGTTGGTGGAGCGTACTCTCCCTTTTTAATTGACATTTGTTCCTCTGGATCCTGTCCATTGCTTCTACTTCCACAAAATCAAAACTGAGTTTATGTGATCTTCAAACCCACTTTGGTACATCAGTCTGCGATCATCTTTCAACAGCGATGAATAGTTATGCTGTGCCAGAGGCAGGCGTGTCTCAGCTACAGAGTGGGGCCAGTCTCTCATTCACACATTTAGAAACAAACAAAGGTAACTCGTTTACTTCGTTAACGAACAGCAATCTGCCACGAGCAACCTGGGGAGCAAATGAGGGAGCGAGTAGAGTAAAAATGCACCTTTACTCTGAAATCAGTGTGTTTAAACAAGTGTAGATACATGAAAGGAGGCTGAATAAAAGTCATTAATGTTATTCATATAGCACCTTCATAGATAACAAAGTGCTTCAGAGATGACACAGTATAAAACAAAAACAGACAAAAGTTAACGAAATGCAATTTTAAAAAGATGTTTTTAGTTGTTTTAAAACAAAGCAACTAAAAACCTGTGGCTGAGCTTTGGTAGAGACTCTGCTCACCACAGGATTCGTTATTAAAAACCATTTCTGCAGATAATCAGCTGACACGTGTGATGTGTCGAAGCAGAAATACTACGCTCAGTGTTGGCGTCAGAGCTGACGGAGAGGAGCAGCTGCACTAACCTGTCATTCCCTGCATCATCGCAGCATGGACATTTAGACTGTCGGAGCAACAAAACGCCATCACAGCAGATACTCTTTAAGGAATCTGATCTCGTCTCCTTTTCTTTCTTAGCCTGAAACTGAATTCTGTGCCGCGACGCTGTAACATTATTATTACTACAAATTAAAGAGTGAAACGGAGTGACAGCACTCGATTCACTTCTGGCTTATAAAATTGTTTGTCTTTGTCTTGTCAAATGCAAAGAGGACAGCTTGGTTTGAGAATGTTGTGCATATGAATTTAACCAGCAGCCACACAATCGAACGCACTAATACAGCCCTGCTATAGCTGCATTTTGACTGACACCACCTTTCACAGGAAGTTGCTCTGTGTGCACACTGCTGAGAAAAGGCACGGAGAGATGTAACACTGAAATCCACCGCTCGCTGTAAAAACAAGATATCTGCAGATTTTGGTCCTCCTGTCATCAAGTTCACTTCAGTTCTGCTGTGTTTCAATAATGTTAGTAATGAAAACATGTGGCTCTAAGCACGCGGAGTAGAGAGGGCAGAGATTTGAAACTCTAGGCGCTCCTCCTATCACACACATTAGGTGCAAAATAAGAAATACTGTTCAGTAAATTTGCTACAACTTTGCTGTAAATGTTTGGCAAACTTGAGTAAGTCGAGGTGTTGAACTGGTCACAAAAATATCTTTGAGTGGAACATGCAATGTCATGTGTAGTCCTGACTCATAAAGCTTATTGCTGGCTCTCCGTTACGTGCACAAGAAGAAATGTTGTTCTTTAATCAGCTTCTTTGTTCCAGGTGGCGAGCGTAATCTGGACGACCTGATTGAGTCCCTTGGGGCAAGTGATACTTCAGACAAGCAGCCGTCCAGCGAGAAAGCAGAGCCTACTGCAAGAGTTTCTGAAGAGCATTCAGACATTAAGCATGAAGCAGAAGGTGAAGAGACGAAGGAAGTGAGACCAGAGGAATATGATGGAGACGAAACAGTGGAAGAATGTGACAGAGAGGAAGAAGAGGAGGAAGGATGGTGGGAACACTCGGAGCTCATACCCTCTTTAGAAGCCTCACGTGAGACGGAGGAGATTGGGGCGGAGCAGCTCGTGTCCGGCCTCAGGCGACGCAACAGGCCTGAATGAACCTGGACTGTGACATTATTACAAATATTTATTCTTTAAAAATGCTTCAGATGTTTCCCAAAAGCCTGTCTGCATATTCATCAAGACGTATGATAGAGTCTTTAGGAAAAGAAAGCCTGGTAACATGTTCCCGAAGATGGAGATGGCACTTTGGTCTGATCTTGTTTTCTCCTCAGCTCCACCATGAATTTAAAGAATCTTAGCAACAAAGACACTCAAGATTCAGCTTGTAGTCAGTTCGGCCTATAAAGTCAATGGTGCCAGTTTGCAGTTACACAAGGTAAAAGGTTCAACGAGGCTCAAAGATTCCCATTAAGGAGTTTCCATGTTCCTAAAATGTTTTTTTAAATTCATCCTGTTGCATCCTAACAGAGTCTGTCAGTGATGCTACGCAGTCTAACTTTGTCTGCGTCCTGTCGCCTGTACAGACTCAGCCACCGCACATTTGGCTTCTCTTCTTTGTGCTGTAGCGAAAATTAGAGACAACAGTTTGTTTAAGCTTTTTATACACTGATCGGATCTACTCCTGACATTCATTTTAATTTTGCTCTTACTTGAATATTTAAATGCAAACACGTTGTGTTTACCTACCAGTGGGGCAGCTTGTGCCGGCTGTTTGCTCAGCCTGCAGAGACAAAGCACCGTGTCTGCTTGTGCGCTTGTTGTTCTCACCATGAAGCAGGACGACCGGACTCTAGTGCAGGGCTGTGCTGCCACCCTCAGATTGCTTTCGGCCTAGTTGTGATTTGACAGCTGGGTTTAGCTGCGCTCGTGCGGAGTCTGATAGTTTCAGGATTTCTTCCCCATAAAGAACATGTTGATCTAAATCCCCTCTGTGCTAATGGAAATGACCAAGTGCTGCTGCTGGATCCTTTTGGAACTAAAAATATGTCCAACGTGTGGAAAGTTGTTTATACATGAAAACATTGCATGTGTGACTTCCTTGTGTGTACGCGGTGAATGCACGCCACAATGACCCTCACCTGGTATGATAGAAACATTTGACCTTATGTTTCATTTCTGTCAGCACGAGTCATCACTTTACCTCTTCTTGCTGTTATTTATTTAAATATTTATCTGATGACATTTTAACAGTCAGAGCTTACTGTGACGAGGCTCCTGTGCACCTCAGACTGCTTTTGGGTTCTCAGTAGTTTGAAGGCAGCTTCTCTTCTGTCTTTTTGCTGATATGAGCTAATGGCAAGTAGTACTTCCACAAATGAAGCTATGGTTATATTAAGCATGTGTGTGTGGTTTGCATCTAAATTTGCTCCATGTGGGACTAATGCCGATGTAGTAAAATGAATCGAATGACTTTAAAATAATAGAGGCTGCCCTGAGCGATGGTCTTTACTGTCTGTTGTCAGACCAAAGCACGACTTTGCCTTATATGTGAAGAAATAAAAAAACAAGACGTCACAGTTCTGACACCAACTACTCATCAACACGTTTTGGAAAGCACTAATGTCTGCCTTAACCTACTTACATGTTTCATATTGTTATGTTCCTATTATGCATATTAACATTTGTGTAATGAAGGTTGTGTGTTTTGTGTGTCTGCTGAGTCGTTAAACTTGGCTCGGCTTAGAATGAAATAAAAATAATTCAATGTCATTCTTTGGTTCTGCTTGTTTTCGGAGTTTCAGTGAATATGAAACGATGCTGGATCATTCGATATTTTCGCCTTCATGTCACTTATAAAGAAGTTTTCATCAATGGTGCGACACACACATATAAAACTGCCAAGACTCACAGCCTTGGCCAGCTGCTTGAAGAGATACGCCAGAGAGAGAGAAGGCAGGAGAATAAACCAGCTGTTCTCTACAGAACCATCCAAGGTGTACTCTCAGTGGCAGGGAACAATATGAGAACAGCAAGGCTCGAGACAGAGGCCGTGTCCCAATCCAGCGACCGCACGCTTCGGAGTACGCATTGAAAGACCTATTACGTCACAGCGACGCGACGACGGCTGTCCCAATCCGAAGTGTACTCCAAATGCGGTCTGTCACTGTCGCTACCCGATCCGTAACGGAAACTGTTAGGTTTTGTATTGTTGATTGTCATTTATGCTTAGAAATATCTACTTATATATGCTTAGAGTTTTATAATTAGTTGTAGATTGGTAGAGGTTTGATCCTTGATAGTCTGCAAACTTTGTGTGCATTAGAGAGCACTCTGGGAGTATAAGAGAGGTCCTATCTTCTCTTGTTATATGGTATAGCAAACACACGTATATCTCTTTGAGTATGAGAGCCTTTTGTTCAGATGGACCCGCTAGACTCCTGGCACCAGCTTTGGGGAGTCTTCACAGGGTCACATCTTGACCTCACACAAATCACACACACACACACAAAGGCAAGGTACTCTTTGTGTGTATGTAGACGTCATATGTTAATGAACTTATGCATATTCATGTAACCTCAATAAAAGAGCAGTGTTACGGGAGAACGGACGAGAGCAACTGGGGTCAAGCGAAGGAACTGCGTTTGTCCGGTTCTCTCCCGTGCACGAGTGACATGGAGAACTTTGCCTACTTCGTGTATTGCTTGCCGTGTAATTATATTGTCTTCAATGTTCCAGCGAATAGGTTCAAGCTACAAACCTATCAGAAACCCGATCCGTACCCCGCATGTCCAAAAGGCAGAGGTGTGGACTCGAGTCACATGACTTGGACTCGAGTCATTAATTTTATGACTTTAGACTTGACTTGAAAAAATGTTCTAAGACTTGTGACTTGACTTGGACTTTTACACCAATGACTTGGGACTTGAATTGGACTTGAACCGGTTTACTTGAAAAGACTTGATATTTTACCCCAAATATAAAATTTAACATGCATATTATATAGAGATTGAAAATGTGACGTCATTCATGGGTAAAACCGCAAAGGATTCTGGGAACTCGTGGCAAGAGGTACTAGCGCACACAGACTTTTAATTGAAATCAGTCACACAGCGATAAAAAGAAACACAAAAATGTCAAGAAGCTGTTGTATTATTAACTGCAATAGCCGGTCGCATGACAGCCACGGGAAGCCGACGAGTAAAGAGATCGGTTGTTATCGGATTACGTCGTTGAAGAGAAATTGTTCGAGCCATGTTTCCGAAGTAACAAAGACGCGACGGGTGGCCTGGATTGCAGCCATTCAAAGAGCAAATATAACGTCCCCGAACACTCCAGCTCACAGGTTAGTCTGCTCCAAGCATTTACACAAAAGTCAGTGTTTTTTAGTAGTTAATACGTCATTTTCATAACATAATTGGTGATATATGTTACAAGCAAGTCTGGCGCTGAACAGAAATTGTCGCGTTATGCTCCTTTATTTATTGTGCATAAATAGTGAATTGTCCTGACACAATATTGTGTTTCGCTTCTGTTATTATGGTACATTGACAAAAACATATACTTTTATTCACAGGATAAAACAGGTTTTTTGTATCACTAATTGCCCAGTACGATTACAGCATACAATATTGTTGTCACTGCTACATTTCTGTGATGAACAAGAAATTATTTCCACTACTAATTAATTACCCCTGAGCTCAAAGGTCCTATTAATAAACGGTTAACGAATGTGTATTTATGAAGACGATTTGTGAGACTGGTAAACTTATGATACGTACGATGGTCTTTCGTTCTACACGGTGCATTTCAAGGTCCTGCACCCATCCGTCGGTAAACTGTACCTGGGCTTGTTGCAGTGACCTGAAGTTACTAAACTTTATGAGTGTATGCACTCACTCCAAGAACCGTATGATTATAAATATGCATATAAATATGCTAAGATGAGATAGCTGACTTCATCTAACTAGCAAATGTTGTCCAGGCTACGTTGGTGATGCAGTTTTTTTTTTTAATGTGTATGATATTTTTGTCATGCGATTTTAAAGCCGGTCCTACAACCGCATCCAAGAATAACATGCAGCTTATCTCAGAACTGTCGGTGAAAATTATTCTTGGAGCTAAGTTTAATTGAGCTGCATTTTAAAGAGGTGCAATTTCACAATTTGTGTATATTTTCTAAGTTCACTATTTTGTCATGTGTTGAGAAAAACACAGATTTAAAAATTACATGGTCTAATATTTACATTTAGCATAACTGCAACATGCGTTTTTCGTTTTTTTTTTTAAAGACTCGAAAGGACTTGAAATTCAAAATTTCAGACTTGTGACTTGACTCGGACTTTTACACCAGTGACTTGAGACTCGACTCTGACTTGCCTGACATTACTTGAGACTTGACTTGAGGATAAAGACTTGAGACTTACTTGAGACTTGCAAAACAATGACTTGGTCCCACCTCTGCCAAAAGGCCACTGCTTACTTACTCGAAGCATTTTACAATAGTTACAGGTCAGAGTATCTGTTAAGATTTTAAGAATAATAAATATGTCTTAAAATGTTTCCAATAATGAAACATTTCAATATAATGTAGACAAAAACGAAAAATAAAAAGATAGTTACGGATCAGGACTCCCGATCCTTACTGCGCATGTGCAAAGTCGGACCGTACAAATCGGGTCTACCTGATCCGTACCGTGCATGTGCAGGGGTTTTCTTCTTCTTCTGTTTTGTTTAATGGCAGTTTACTAGTGATAGAATTTCCGGCTCTTTCGGTTGTTAGGCCCTAAAAAAATGCACCCTTTAAAGGCTCTAAGGGACCAAAACGGCCACGCCCCAAAAAGTGCAATAAAAATAATTATATATTCATATTTTTTTCCACTTTAAATTGGTCAGTCTTTTAAAACTACTTCTCCCTGAAATATTCATATAAATTTTTAATTATATTTTCGTTGTTTTAACCCTCTAAATCACAGTTTTATTACATGAGCGCACTGTTTTTTTAGCCCCAAAAAACAAAGAAACTAAATATTTTCCATAAAAAACATTTGAAGTAATATTCGTTTGTTATTATAATTAGGCCTTTAGATGGACCAAAGATTGGCACCAACATTCATTCTGATCAATTACTATTTTTTCTAGGAGCACAGTAAATGTAATATAATGGTGATCATGTTTTCACTTTTTGATTATGTTAACTGCTTATTAGCACTTATTATTTACTTATTGCTTATTACCACTAAATACTATTACCTTGTTGTGTTCTAAAATAAAATAAAAAAATATATGAAAATAAAAATACAAGATCACTTTGAACCACAAAACATTTATTTTTAGAACTTTAGAACAATGAACATATACTGTTTGGAATGGGGAAAGGTATGAGAGATATGAGAAAGAGATAAAGAGTGCGAGATGGGGGCTGGGGGGGGCAGTCCTGCTCAGGTGGAGCAGTTGCTGCAGATGGTCAGGCTGTGGTCCTTGCATGTGGCCTTCCCACATTTGCAGCAGGTGGTAACGACCCTCCTTTTTCCTGCGCAAAGGTCACATCGCTTCCTCACCTTAGATTTGATGGCTGCAGAGGGGCCTGGAGAGGGACCAGCAGCAGCAGCACCCTGCGCATTTTTCACAAATGGGAAGAGCGGGGAAGTCGATGTAGAGCCTCCTTCTGTAAGCTTTGCTTTGCTGCCAGGCTGGGTCAACCGCGGTCCACAGGACGTAACCATTATAGAGCGAAATGTCGATCAGGTGGTGGAAAAGGGCTAACGGCCACCGCCTCGTTCGCCTCCTACAGGTGTAGGTGGCAACAGCCTAATAAAAAAACAAAACACACACACACAAAAAAAACATTAAACCTACGTATATTTTACACAAGAATATATGAGCAAGAATGAATAAATTCGTGCGCAACTGATGCGTAATGACACCTACCTGATCGAGTTTGTCCACACCTCCCTTAGATTTGTTATAATCCTTTATTATGTGGGGCTTTCTCTTCGGGTCGTCGCATACTCCTGGAGTGCGGTGTTTGGAGCTCAACAGGAGGACATTTCTGCCGCAGCGGGGGACGTATGACACGGCCGTGTGCGTTGTAGTGAAAGCAAAGACGGAAAACACTCCTCTCCCCCTTGTCTGCAGCAGTTGTGGCGGAAGCTCGGGCTTGTTCTTCCTAATGGTGCCAACCAGGGTATTTTTTCGCCTGAGCAGCTCCTCTGACAGAGGGAAGGAAGTAAAAAAATTGTCACAGGTGACACTGTGTCCCTGGAGCCCCTCTGTCAGCTCCAGAACCACTCGCATCCCCTGGTTGATCTCGCTCCCACCGACTGCTTTGCCCGTGTAGAGCTGCAGTCTCCAGGCATAAGACGTCTCTACGTCGCAGACCGCCCATACCTTCAGACCATACTTTGCTGGCTTTTTGGGCACATACTGCATGAAGGCCACCTCCCTTTGAAAGGAATAAGTTGTTCATCCACACAAATTTCCCTGTTTGGGCAGAACATCATCTGGAGGCGATGGGTCCACATATCCCAGATTTTGCGAAATGGACCCAGTTTGTCATCACGGTGTCTTGGTCTCGGAAGTTTGTCATCGAATCGGAGAGCGCTGCTGATGTAGCGAAACCTTTTCTCGGACATGGTAGCCCGAAACCCACCCGGCCGGATTTCTCACTCCAGAGACTGAGTGTTGATTCGTTTCGGGAACGGTAAACACCAGCCAGAATTAGTAGCCCCACATACGCACGCAGTCCATCGCTGTCCACATCTTTCCAGTCAGCGATAGTACGTCTCCCCTGGATATTGGTCATTGAGACGATATGCAGGATAATTTCATCGGTGACAAAAAGAGAAAAACTGGATTGTGGGTCACTGATCCCGGCGGTGGCATGAAAAGTAGGTCCGGTGTGTCCCGTGGCCGCTGGAACATAGCGGAGCGTCTCAGCGTTTGTCGGAGACCACTTTGTTCCATTTTTGGAAATCCACCCTGCTGATTCTTCCTCCATCTCTCCGCTCTCATTTTCAGACTCTGATCCATATGAGTCGGAACCAGACTCCAGCTCCTCCGTTTCCTCCTCCGAAGAAATCTCCGCGTCATCCCCCAAATCCTCGGTGGATGATGAGGCGCTATCCTCGCACTCGGGGTCCAGGATCATTTGCAACGCTTCCTCCGTGTTGTACCGTCTTGCCATTGTGAAAAAGACTACTCCCGCGCTACTGCTCATTCTTATAACCACGGCTTTAGTGCAGCTGCATAAACAACCTGAGCTTGCAGACAAAACAAGTCTAATTTGGCTTTGGTATTAGTTTTATATTTGATTTGTTTGCATTGCAGTGTGGACTTCAAAAGGAGAAAAAACGTTTGAAATTAGACACACACTCTTTGATTCTGAGGTTAGACACACACTCCTTTATTTTTTTTTAAGACACACCCACATTGATAGTGACCCAAACTCATCATTTGAGCATAAAGACACTGTGGTAAATGTGGGATTTTCCAGCTGTAAATGTTGTATTTTCCAGCAGGTGTCAAATGTGAAACAAGGGCGCCACCTGGTGGACAAATAAAAAAGAATTACAATTCTAAGACCCCTGCTTCAAAGTCACAGTGAAAGTGAAAAGATGACATTTAACTTGATGGTAATGATTGGGCAGTGAAAAATAGCGTTTATAATGGGTTTCAATGGGGCACAAATGGGCCACTAGGGCCTTAAGAGGATGTGCATTATTAGCTTAGCCACTGAAGCTAATTTAAGGAAGTCAGACTTAAATTTTGAAATAAAATTATACCAAACTTTTTTTTGTAAAATTTGGCTATATTCCATTCAACACAGTGCAAATGGCTTGTAACCGGAAAAAGAAAGCCACAAAAAGTCCCCAGGGCCTTTTTATTTATATATGTTTATATATAATATATGTGGTGGCCCCTACAGACAAAGCACGTACAAACTCCAAAAAGGACGTAAAAATTCCAAAACACATTTCTAGCGTTAACTGAACTTCCAAAACAGAGCTACCTAGACACTTAAATTACACAATTGAAAGCATATGTGTTTGTGTATTTATACACAAGCACTCATATATATTCAAATAATTCAAAAACATTTTCATTTACCTGTTACTACCACACACTAAATCCGATCGTTGGTACTTGCTGGCTTGTGTAGCCACTAGGTAACAAAAGCTCAACACTGCGCCCTAGCATCCTGGAGCACTTCTGTTGTGTTTTGTACGTGTTTCGGAGTTTTTACGTGTTTTGGAGTTTTTACGTGTTTTGGAGTTTGTACGTGCTTCTGGGTTTGTACATGCTTTGTCTCTAGGGGCTACCGTAAATATACTTTTATTTATTCACTCCACATAAAATGTAATAAATAAATCATATAATACAAAAACCAACTAGTCACAGTTCAACTTAAACAACACAAAACACTGCAAACCACAACACAATTAAATATAAATTAAAATATGAAAACAAAAAGAAGATGCATATTTTGTCAGATGGGCCTGCATGAATAAACTTTCTGAATCCTTTATCATCTGCAACTGAAAATAGTTGTGGATGATTACTATACCTTTCTAATGTGACGTTGTTGTCCCTGGCTCTCTCTCCCTCCAGCAGAGTGAAGCTGACCCCCCACCCACTTGAAACGTAAAGGCAAATAGCAGTTAGTGCTACGTTTGTGCAGATTTGTGCAGGTAAAATTAGCATTTGTGCTGCTACGGTTTTTGAGATATTAAACTTTATTTTATAGGTCATTCAAAGGTCACCATCCCCCCAGACTGCTCCAAAACAAACCAAAATGGTCTACTTTTTTAGTGCTACGTTTGTGCTGATTTGTGCAGGTAAAATTAGCGTTTATGCTGCTATGATTTGAGATATCCTGTTATGGTTTACTGCTGAAAAATGTCTTTTTCATATGACCTTTCACTTTGTGTGTTCACTTGTTCAATAAAGTTCTGTTAAAAAAAACCCTCTTGTTGTATTTAATCAGCTAAATTTGTAATGAGTGTATTTTTTTTTAACTTCAATTTCTTTACTCACTTTTTGTTCATAAAACCACGATGCAAATGCTTGAGTATTTATTTTTTTCAGAGTGGATTAAAAAAACTTTTTACACTCCCATGAACACTTTTTGAGAAACGAACAAGCTAGCAGTCTTTTGCATCAAATACACATTTTCTGGCAGAAAAAATATTATTTGGCATTACTGTGTCTGAAGGATTCTTAGAACAGCGTTCATCTGATTTCTGAACAAGGTAAGCTTACATTTAAAATACTGAGGTTTTAGTTACTGAGTTAATACATGATATAGCTAACTGGATCAAAAGGATTTTTTTTCAATGTTAAACATTTTCAAAAATGCCCAAGAAAAAAGTTTCTAAGGCTACGTTCACACTGCAGGCGAAAGCGCATCAAATCCGACTTTTCTGACCCTATGCGACCCATATCCGATCATGGTGTGACAGCGTGAACGGCACAAATCCGATATTTTCAAATCCGATCTGGGTCACTTTCGTATGTGGTACTGAATCCGATACATATCCAATGTTTTAGAAAGCGACTGCTGTTTGAACGGTCAGGTCGCATGAAATCCGTCTTTTACGTCACCGACACAAGACAGACACCAATTATCAGCGCCAGAGAAGACATCGCGAACGCTTCCCGTGTAGATATCAGTGATTGGAGAAACGTGAACATTTTATTTGTACTGTATAATCTGCAGATTCTGACAGAAATCTGCAGCTATCCTTTGAAGCACCGCTCCTCTAAAACAGCAATAAGGATCATTATTAGGTTAGTTACATTATTATGTAAATAACAAAATAACTTAAAGCAAAAATTGGGAAACGTAAAGTCTTTATATTAAGGGCCATCTATCAAACAATACTGTTTGCTCTGGGTCTAAACAGAGCGCGTTGTGTGTGACGTCTTCTTTTGCGCATGCGGCCGCTTTGAGCGTTCACACTAGAGCGCGTTTGCTGTCGCATTTTATTTGTAGTGTGAACGAGCAGACAAAAAAATCGGATTTGATCAAAAAATCGGAATTGAGCATTAAGACCTGCAGAGTGAACGTAGCCTAAAGCACTTTAAAACATGTAGCACACTGGACTAAAGTGCTGTACAGTACATGGGTTAAATACTCAGACTCAATTTAATAAACTCACAAATTCAATAGCTCCATCTTAAAAACAAAAATTCCACAAAATATGAAAGTGTAGATTGGTGGAGAACTTGGGGGAGGGGTTGCTCCTGGCTGTATACAGTGGGGCAAAAAAGTATTTAGTCAGCCACCAATTGTGCAAGTTCCCCCACTTAAAATGATGACAGCGGTCAGTAATTTGCACCAGAGGTACACTTCAACTGTGAGAGACAGAATGTGAAAAAAAAAAATCCATGAATCCACATGGTAGGATTTGTAAAGAATTTATTCGTAAATCAGGGTGGAAAATAAGTATTTGGTCACCTCAAACAAGGAAAATCTCTGGCTCTCACAGACCTGTAACGTCTTCTGTAAGAAGCTTTTCTGTCCCCCACTCGTTACCTGTATGAATGGCACCTGTTTGAACTCATCATCTGTATAAAAGACACCTGTCCACAGCCTCAAACAGTCAGACTCCAAACTCTGCCATGGCCAAGACCAAAGAGCTTTCAAAGGACACCAGGAAAAGTATTGTAGACCTGCACCAGACTGGGAAGAGTGAATCTACAATAGGCAAGCAGCTTGGTGTGAAAAAATCAACTGTGGGAGCAATCATCAGAAAATGGAAGACATACAAGACCACTGATAATCTCCCTCGATCTGGGGCTCCACGCAAGATCTCATCCCGTGGGGTCAAAATGATCATGAGAACGGTGAGCAAAGATCCCAGAACCACACGGGGGGACCTGGTGAATGACCTGCAGAGAGCTGGGACCAAAGTAACAAAGGTCACCATCAGTAACACACTACAACGGCAGGGAATCAAATCCCGCAGTGCCAGACGTGTTCCGCTGCTGAAGCCAGTGCATGTCCAGGCCCGTCTGAAGTTTGCCAGAGAGCACATGGATGATACAGCAGAGGATTGGGAGAATGTCATGTGGTCAGATGAAACCAAAGTAGAACTTTTTGGTATAAACTCAACTCGTCGTGTTTGGAGGACGAAGAATACTGAGTTGCATCCCAAGAACACCATACCTACTGTTAATGCTATCTTATTTTAATAACCAACACTGTCATATGCAAAACTGGGGTGGCACTTGGGGTGGCAAGGGATCATTTTAGGGTGGCACTTGCCACCCCATGCCACCCTTCTAGATCCGCCCCTGTCAGGAGTCCGCTGTTCTCGGCAGCTCTAGTGACCCTCGACCTCCCGGTCTGCTATGGAGCTGGCAGGTTTTGGATCATTGTCATGTTGGAAGACCCAGCCTTGTTTCATCTTCAAAGTTCTCACTGATGGAAGGAGGTTTTGGCTCAAAATCTCACGATACATGGCCCCATTCATTCTGTCCTTAACACGGATCAGTCGTCCTGTCCCCTTGGCAGAAAAACAGCCCCATAGCATGATGTTTCCACCCCCATGCTTCACAGTAGGTATGGTGTTCTTGGGATGCAACTCAGTATTCTTCTTCCTCCAAACACGACGAGTTGAGTTTATACCAAAAAGTTCTACTTTGGTTTCATCTGACCACATGACATTCTCCCAATCCTCTGCTGTATCATCCATGTGCTCTCTGGCAAACTTCAGACGGGCCTGGACATGCACTGGCTTCAGCAGCGGAACACGTCTGGCACTGCGGGATTTGATTCCCTGCCGTTGTAGTGTGTTACTGATGGTGACCTTTGTTACTTTGGTCCCAGCTCTCTGCAGGTCATTCACCAGGTCCCCCCGTGTGGTTCTGGGATCTTTGCTCACCGTTCTCATGATCATTTTGACCCCACGGGATGAGATCTTGCGTGGAGCCCCAGATCGAGGGAGATTATCAGTGGTCTTGTATGTCTTCCATTTTCTGATGATTGCTCCCACAGTTGATTTTTCACACCAAGCTGCTTGCCTATTGTAGATTCACTCTTCCCAGTCTGGTGCAGGTCTACAATACTTTTCCTGGTGTCCTTCGAAAGCTCTTTGGTCTTGGCCATGGCAGAGTTTGGAGTCTGACTGTTTGAGGCTGTGGACAGGTGTCTTTTATACAGATGATGAGTTCAAACAGGTG